TTACCTAATACATTTTACCATTAAAAAGGAATGTTCTTGGGCCCTGGCTGGCGTAGCTCAGTGGATTGAGCGTGGGCTGCGAACTGAAGTGTCGCAAGTTCGATTCCCAGCCAGGGTACATTCCTGAGTTGCAGGCCATAACCCCCAGCAACCACACATTGATGTTTCTCTCTCTCCCTCCCTTCTCTCTCTATAAATAAATAAATAAATAAATAAATAAATAAATCTTTAAAAATAGTTTAAAAAAAAAGGAATGTTCTTTAGGGGAATGTGATGAACTAATTCTAATAAACAAATATAATTATAGGCTCTAAGACTTGTCATAAAAATCAAGGGCTCCTTGGCACCTTGTTATGGGTGAGCATAAAAAGTACTTCCCATGGTAAGTTTGCCTCTGGTAGTTTGCAACATTTTATCTTTATCCTTCAATATTCCTAAGTTTCTCCTTCCATGCACTTAAATATGAGTTATTTTGATTCACCACTTAAAGTATAAATTCAATTTCAGGAATCCTATATTCAATTCTGGAAAATTCTCAATGATTATATCTTTGAAAAGGCTCTCCCATCATTTATTTTGGATTCTTTTATTGATATAAGTAAAATTTTGTTTCTTAAAATGCATAGATACATGAGTAATATCTTATTCTGTTTGGGCTGCTATAACAAAATACTGGGTGGCTTATAAACAACAGAAATTTGTTTCTTTCTGTCTGGAGGCTGGGAAGTCTGAGATCAAGGAGCCATGATGGTTGCCTTCTGCTGGGGACCCTCTTTCTGGTTCATAACTAGCCAGTATTTTGTTACAGCAGCCCAAACGAACTGAGATACTATCCATGTATCTATCCATTCCACAGCAATGGGAGAAAAATGAGCACAACTATAACTGAACAACAATAAAAAATTTTAAAAGAAAGGAATGAAATTTTACTTGTATCAATAAAAGAATCCAAAAGAAATGGCAGAAAAACTTTTTAAAGATATAATAGATCAGAATTTTCCAGAATTGAATGTAGGATTCCTGAGATTGAATTTATGCTTTAGCTGGCAAGTCAAAATAAATTACATACAAAGGAGTTCCCATAAGACTGTCAGCTGATGGGTTTCTCAAAAGAAATTTTGTAGGCTAGAAGGGACTGACAAGAAGTATTCAAAGTGATGAAAAGCAAGGACTCATCCAAGATTACTCCGTCCAGCAAAGCTCTCATTTAGAATGGGAGGGCAGATAAAGTGATTCTCAGACAAGGTAAAGGTAAAAGGAGTTCATCACCACCAAGCCATTATTATATTAAATGCTAAAGGGAATTGTAGAAGAAAAGATGATCAACATGATGAATGGTAAAATGACAACAAATTCCCAATTAACAACAATTGAATCCAAATAACAAACTAAGCACACAGCCAGAACAGAAACAGAATCATAGACATAGAGATCATTTGGAGGGTTATCGGTTGGGAGGGGAAGGAGGAAAATAGGGGGAAAAGTGCAGGAATTAAGAAGTACAAATTTGTAGGTACAAAATAGGGGATGTTAAGGACCGTATAGGTAATGGAGTAAGCAGAGAACTTATATGCACGACCCATGAACATGAACTAAGGGAGGGATTGCTAGAGGGAATGGGGTAATGGGTGGAGGGAGCAGAGCAGAAGAATTGAGACAACTGTAATAGCATAATCAATAAAATATATTTTAAAAAACCAAGACACAAATTCTATTCATGAGAGCTCTAACCTCATGACTTAAGCACCTCTGAAAACTCCACCTCCTAATACCATCATCTCTGGGGGTTAGAATTTTAACATGTGAACTTTGTGGACACACAAATATTCAGACTATAGTAGATAGATGATGATATATAGATAGATGATAGATACATAGATAGATATATTGGCTCCATCTCTCTGAGCTGCATTCTGCATCTTCCACATGAATTCTTTTTTCAGCCATATCCAGGCTAGCACTTAACTGGTTTATCTTTTTAAAAAATTTTGATGACTATATTTTTCATTTTCAGATTTCTAAAGGGTTCTCTTTCAAATCCACTTGTTCTTTTTCTCTCCTGGTTTTCATTTAAAATCCTGCCCTTTAAAGGATGCTAATTCTTCACTTAGCTCTTAAAGCTTAATTAACATATTAGCCTTTATCTGATGCTTTCTTAAAATTAATTAATTTTACTTGGAAAGAATTTATGATATTATTGAGTACTGTCTTTCTTAGAATTAGATTTCATTATATGTTTTTGAAGTTTTTACTTTTTATTAAATTTATTAGGGTGACACTAGTTAATAAAATGATATAGGTATATAATTCTATAATATATCATCTATATATTGTATTATGTGTTCACTACTCCAAGTCATGTCTTCTTTGTTTTTGGAATTTTGGTTTATATATTAATTATGAATAGAAGAGAGGTTTTTATTTTGGTATAGTTTTCTCTGTGTGTCTGCCTGTCTTTCCTCTGTGTTCACCCTTTCTTATTTAACCATTTTATATTTGTCTTTACCTGATTGCCCAGCCTTCTAGACCAGACTTAATGTAAAATGACATTTTAGGGCTCTTGTACCAGATTTATGTTGGGGATATCATAGAATTAGGCATCAAATCAGCAGATGCTTACTTCATTTTTTGGTTGAGAGATAATGTCTTTATTCCTCAACCTTTAAGCCATACACATAAATTTTTTTGCACCATCTCTTTAGCATTTCCATGGTGCTGGCTTTAGGAGGTGAGTCTGGCCATGGGGAGGTGGCTCAGTTAGTTGAGTGTCATTCCGTGCACCAAAAGGCTACGGGTTTAATCCCCGGTCAGAGCGTGTATGGCAGGCGGCCAAGTGATGTCTCTCTCTCACACTGATATTTCTCTCTCTCTCTCTCCCTCCCTCCCTCCTTCCCCCTTCCTTCCTTTCTTTCTAAAACTCGATGAACGTGCCTCCAGTGAGGATTAAAAATAATAGATAAATAGATAGATAGGTAGGTAGATAGACAGACAGACAGACAGAGTCTGGCTCTGGTTAGAGAATTTTGGAGCATTTATTCTTCAGGAGAAGTCATGGCCACTATGCCTACTTCTAGAACCCAGCAGGCCCATGGTTTTATCTCTGTTCTCAATTTTGTATTTCTGGTCTATTTCTTATATACAAGTACTTTTTAAAATGTTTTTTTTTTCTTTTTATAATTGACCTTGTGTTTAGAGTAGAAGGAATAAATCAGAGCATAAATTCATTGCACCATCTTCACAACATGCTGCTAATGAATTTTTCATGTATATATTTTAATCTTTTCAACTCGTTTGCTTCTACAGGGCAGATATACATCTTACTCCTCACCTGTAACTCCTACTTTGCAGATCACAGACATCATCAGTATATCGTAGTTGCTAAAAATTTCGTAGTTTATTTGATTTTGTAATAGAAAAAATCTGATCTTTAATCTTACAGACATTTTACATATCAGAATATGTCAATAAAGGGGTTTGCAAATGTAAGTTTACAGTTGTGAGGACACAAAACACAGTTAATGAAGCTATTGTAATAAATCATAACCTGCATGTCTTTTTCTGTATGAACAACTATAACCCTCCTTTTGCCCCCCATATATATCTGTGTGTATGTGTGTTTGAGTGTGTGTATAGGTGTATATTTTTCATACTCATTAGGATCCCATTAGGTTTATTTACTTGTTTACATGATAGTCCTTCTGCTTCCAATCTGGCCAGGAATGTCCCAAATAGGATTAAAACCTTTTTGTATTTCAGAATACAGACAATTTCGGACTCTCCTACAAAGCTGCATCTCCTAATATTTTCGATTGATTTTATTGCTTGATTGTTTTTAACCTCTTACAAAATACGGTTGGCCGGACTTATTCTGTGTACAGGCTTGAGAGGAAACTAACTGGCCTGCTGATGTTTTCATTTCTCATGATAGTGTTTCCATGTGGAAGTTCATAGTTTGGGATCCCATTCAGGGTCTGCTGGGTGCTAAGGCCTGTGCTGCATGTGTCTTGAACTTTATAGGACTTAGAAGTCATCAGTCCAACTTAGCAGCTCGTTCTTTAAAACCAGGGAGTCCTGTATTTTCCTTGGCCTCTTTCTTCCAGCAAATATTACAAGACCTCAGTTCTTGTTGTGGGCTAATTATCCCCTTCTATTTGCTGGAACCGTAATTCAATGGGAACTGGTCCTGCACAAGGAAATGAGAGGAGAAATTATATAATTGAGAAAAATGGCTTGAGAACCATGAATGTCTAGACTCTTGTGCTAAGTCTGCTACATACTAGCTTGGTGGTCTTCATGGGCAGCTCACGGGGAAAAAAAGGTTTTTCCTACTTTTAAAATGGAATCATTATAAAGACTAAATATTTATTGAATAGAATTATGAGCTAGCCGGTTAGTAAAATGAGACCTATAGTTACTACCTAGACACTTTCTAATTAAAGGGTTGTGATTTTAACTCAGCTGGTTCTCAATTAGAGAAATTCTAATATATCAAAATTCACATGTAATAAAATAGAAATATTTGTCAGGTTATTTTCATTACTAACATATACATTTAACTAACTACCAACAAAATATTTTCAGGGGAGTCATGATGGAATTTACTGAAGAGAAACCAATCATTTGTACTTACTACTTTTAATCATTAATTATACCAAAACCTTCAGAACAGAAATTTTCCTAAGAATCATGAAACTCAACCCTACCAGCTTGCTGAGCAAAGTCGTTCTTTATTGATGGTATTCGGGCAGGATGAACACAAATTCTGAGTCTTTAGTGTCCCTATGTCACACAGGGTGGTGAGCAATCTAGCACAACTTTTACAGCGAAAGGAAGCAGAAGAGTCATGTTGACATACCAAAGATAGTGCTGCCCTTTACACACATCTCGTTCCTCTTGGGTGGGGAGTGTTCTTAGCTAGAAACAATAATAAAATATGTAGAAATTATTTAGTAGCCATTTTGGAACCAAAATTTTTTAAAAAATCAATCTTTGTATTTCAGGCCCTCCAGGGAAACGAGGTAAGAGAGGCCGAAGAGGAGAATCAGGTAAGTCTCCCTCTCAGCTGCTCTGTGTCATTCATGTTGTGCTTAGGTTACTGCATCTGCTCCTCCTAATTAATGATCGTGTTGTCCTGGTGGAGGTTGTGCATACGTGTGTAAGCCTGCCTGTGTGTATGTGTTTAAGTCTCTGCTAGACCCAGCATATTTTTCTATTTTCTTATTTTCATCAAAGGAGAAGCTAGGAAAATATTATTAGTAATTCATTTTTGGCTACTTTATTGCGTCAAGTCCATCCTTTCAGTGTATAGTGAGGGTTTCTTAGTTGCACACAGTGGGGTGACATCACCCATGCCTCCATCTTCATAGGTGGTCAGTCCACAAATGCAGCTTCTCTGTGAAAACATCTGCCTTAGGACACCAGGGCACACGTCTAGGAAAGCTTTATCATTATTTTATCCAACTGGTACAATTTTGTCATGCTTTACTCTCATTCATTTCACCGTTTGAGAGTTTTTATTCCTCTTGTATAACAATAGAAGTCTAGTGATGACAGGAGCCTTAGAAATCAATCCAGCATTTTCATTTTGTATGGAAGGACATGGAGGCGAGGTCAGTCAGGTGATTCGGCCAGGCCAGGCGGTTTTTGTGACAAGGACCTAAAACACACCCTCGTCCTAACGCCCATCTCAGTGAGTTTTTGCTTTCAGGCCAAATCCCTATATGCAAAGTGAAACAGTGGAGCCAGATACAAACTATTGTTTTGAAACCAAGATATGCAAGTCAGTGAGTTCATTGACTTTCAGTGTTTTACTTGTTTATAAAAGTCTAAGATTCCAAAACTGTAAATGACTATGTGAGGCCATTGTTTCTTACTTGCAAGTAAGAGAAAGATAATTTAAGATTTGATTCTGGTATGTGATAAATGTTATTTTCAATAAGTATTTCTCAGTATTAAAAACAATCAATTACTAAGGGTTGAAATAGTAGAAATACTTATCTACCAAAAAGAGCAAAGAGCAGATTGATTTTATTTTGTCTCATTTTCTCTTCCTTTTGAAAAAAAGATGTCAAAAAAGATGTAGAAAGGGTTTATGAAAATTCAAGAATTTGGGTAGTGTGCCTGCTTAATTACTTTAAGAGTATTCTCAAAAGTTATCCTTAAACCTCACTGAATCTAAATAATTGGAAACTCGTGTAGGTATTCCCTTCACAAAATGCAGTTTCATGAAGGAGGATGCTTTAGAAATTTGTTTTAAGGAGAAAGAAATGACAAAACATTGATGGAATCAAGTAACCAACCACTGAATCGATCTTTGTGTTAAAAGAAAGAGAATTGAAGAGGAAAAAAGTGAAAATTCTGTGCTTATACAGTGTTTTATAGAAAGTATAAAAATTAATTCCCAACTTTCTGGCTACATAGAACTAATGTTTTAATTGAACATATGGTGTGTGAACTGTTGAAATTTTCTTAGAATTTGCTGGTGTTTTGATGAGAATACATAGTTTTAAAGACATTTATGTAAACATCAGGGCTTATTCTTCTATGTATTGCTCATAAGATTGAATGAAAAACATTCTTAGAATGAATAATGAGCTTATTTCCAATTTAGAAAGTTTACAAATCAGTTCTCTATAATTAGTTTATCATTAATGACCAAAGATCCTCCTGATTCATATTTTATCTAAATTTTAGGTATAAAAATTAGAGTCTTTGCTTAAAATATATGAACATCTCAGTAATTCATAAACAGGCCTCAGGGAATCTGAACATTCCCTAAAATTTAATAAGTTTTGTATGCACATAGACGTAAATGTATTTTTCTGATATGGTGTCAAAGTGTTCATGTTCTAAAAAAAAAAGATTAAGAATCACTGACTTCTATGTCCCTTGTATTATGCTGATGATTGTGATGATGATTTAATATTTTATTTAATTTAATGTTCTGCATATTCACTAATTCGTCTCTCCCTTTTTCTTACCTCCTCCACCCACCCCTCACCATCTAGGTCCTCCTGTAAGTATCTTTGCTCCATTTTCGCTCTTCTGCATTAATCAGGATCATGTATGTTGAAACTTGATTAAAACCTCAGTCTATATTTCAATTAGAAAAATGTTACTGACCTTTCAAGAGTACTTCACTTTGGGAAATTATTTTTAAAGTACATACTTTTGTGGTCATGTGATATGTTGGAGTGTAATATGTGTCAACTAAAAAAAGCTTTTATTAATGTCATCACAAACCAATTACTCTCTTGGGACTGTTGAAATAACTTATAAAGTTCCTAATATTAAATGCTTTTCCTGGAATTCTGAGGGGGTTTTTTTGCAAGCAAATCTCCAAGCTCTTTCGCACCTCTTTCTTCATCTGTTTAAACTTGTATCTGAAGTATTTGCATTTGCCAGTCCACCAAAGGTAGATGGCAACATGATCATGGAAATGATACCCCCCGTGGGCTTGGTCCGGCACTCCCCCTTAGGCGTCACTCCCTTTGATGTCTGCTGGAGTTTTGCCTGCATGGAGAGCACTAGACGGAGCCCTTGGGGAGTTGCACTTTCTTTTTTCTTTCCTCGAGTAGGTCATAGCAGCAGCATTCCAGTCTGCTTTGCACCCACAGGAACAGATTATCTTGTCAGCTTTGAGTTAGATGTGTTTTTGAGTAATATCCTGGATATCTGCTGTCTGACCTCAGTGTTTGTACTGTGTGCTGTATGTTTATGGTAGCGATGATCATTGGCCTTGAGCTATTTTCTCATCTCCAGTAGCCACTTTGCTCCAGGTTTCACAGACTCCACATTGGCAACTTATCTGACGGGCAAGCATGGTCCAGGGAGAGGGGCTTAGCTTATACTCATTTACTTCATTCAGAGGAAGCATTGGCTTCCAAATATCTTTTGCAGTCTTCCTGCCACATTCAAGGATGGAGCATAAATCATGTTGGAAGTGATTGTGCTTCTGTAACTGACTTCCAGTTCTTGCTTAATGCTAGGCAGATGGCATACTCCAGCCCTTGGAGCCTGATGCTTTGGCTTCTTACTTAAGCCTCCGTCTTTAAAACTAGAAACAAACCACTACTACACAGAGGAAACTGTGGAGATTACAGCCAGAATAGAGTGTTCAAGGCTTCTTTTGGGGATGTTAGTATTAGGCAGGCCAAGAGGTAGTTAAATCTCATTTCTGCCTTAGGGAGACTTTCGGGATTCTAGTATTTCCTCTTTGGCCCTTCACAAATTTAGCAACCATATCACTCTCGCTTTCTTGGGGATATCTATTGATCCAGGTTCTTTATCTAAATATCTCAATTTTTCTTCCTTCTGTTATTATATATATATATATAAAGAGGACTAACACGTTTGAAGTCTCTAGCTTCAAATAGGCAGGCCATGTTCTACTTCAGGCCACTTAATGCTTTCAGTTTGTCTCACAGCCACCCTCTGATGTTACCAATCTCATTGTTTAGGGAGGAAACTGAGACTCAAAATTGCACAGCCAGAAAGGGTTTGCAAAACTGAAATTCACTCAGATATGTCTGATTTGAAATGTTTTCTGTTTACCACATTATCCCAACTCCTTATGAATTATAAATGTGTTTTAACATGAATCATTGGTTGGTACACAGGTTTGGCAGGCCATGGGTCAAATGATTTCCTTGATATAAATAATTATATGAATAAAAGCATGACCAAGAAATGTATAAAACTAGCCCTGGCTGGCGTAGCTCAATGGATTGAGCGCGGGCTGCGAGCCAAAGTGTCACAGGTTCGATTCCCCGTCCGGGTACATATAGTATTTGGGTCCCCATATCACGGGGGCCTTTGTGGGCAAAATACTTTGTAATGAAATCCTCTTTAGCTTCCAATTCCTAACCGCCCCCCCCATATATGATTTTCAAGAACTACTTGCTTTTCATCAAATTTTGCTTTAGACTAAGTGGCTTTATAAAATGTGTCCAGTATGTTTCTTGCATCTGAACAAAAATTAATAAACAGTGCCATTTATTATGATTAAATAGACTGATCAATTTTGTTTATTTAGATGCACTATCCAATTATTGACAACTGTAACTTGCAGCTTCCTATTTTTAGCATCATTTAATTTTATGTGTATTTTTCTTTCTGCTTCTTTTTCATAAACTGAACTTTGATTTTTAGAAAATTTTATTTTCCTAGTTTTGTTTTTAAAAAAATTATTTATTTTATCCCTACAAATAAAATTGGATAGAATATCAAGGCTTATGCTACCATTTTAATGGCTTAAACGTAAAGCATGAAGGTACTTTGAGAAATTAATTAGTCTTGCTTGTCTTGCTTCTGATGAGCAATTGTTGGCACAGAACCTCTATCAAGTAAACTCCCCCAATTTCCTTCTAGCCTGAGCTTCTGTGGTCCTATGACTTGTACTGAAGTACAACTTGGTGGTCCTGATGACTATTTTCTTGTCATTCGTTCTCAATAGTGCTCAATAGTGCAAGAGATGGCATCAGGGCACTCTGATGTTGGCTGATAAACAAACAAACAAATGGTACATTGGTTGGCCTGAGGGACAGTGACAGATTTCTTTGTGTTTGAGAGTCACAATTTTTCATTGCCCTCTTGAAGTAATACTTTCAAGTAAGATTAAAAAAAAACTTAATGATAAAATATAATTTAGGGACCTTACTTTTACATCTTCAATGGTATAATTTGGAACAAATTGTTTGAAATTGTTTCAAATTGTTGAAATTTGGTATAACTAGAATTATGTATAGCTAAAGCATTTCTTTTGTCAGTTTGTATGTCTTGCATATTGGTATCATTTATAATTTAAAAGTTGAAATAAAACTTCATGTAGATCCTGTAAATCAATTTGCTCTTTAGAAAGCTGTTCATCTTATTATTTAGCCTTACCATTTTGACAAAAAGAGTACTACCACAAGTTTCTCTGCTATAAAAAGTTGCAAAGGAGCACTTTTATGATAATGTATGTAATTTATTTTATGTTAATATCAGGTGCTTTTTTCTATTTTTTACTCATAAAGGTAACATGTATTAAAACATTGATTTAAAAGAGTGATTTTCAACCAGCATGCAGTAGCACTCTGGTGTGCCCCAAGAATGTTTAAAACATGCAGTGCCTGATCATTTATTTAGTCAGGCTACTTGACCTCTTTTCTCTAGACTGCCAAATTAGAAAAATGACAATAGCTAATACAATAGTAGCTGTCCAGTGTGAATGAATCAAAATTACACCTATTTCTTTTGTCAACTTGGAAAAAAATATATTTTTTGGTGTGCTGCAGAATTTTACTAGTCAGTTTTTGTGTGCCATGAGATGACAAAGGTTGAAAATCAATGTGCTAAAGGAGTCTGTTCAAGTGCTTTGAGCAGCCAGCTTGGATAGCAAAAATGCATTTGCTGAAATGATTTGTCCGACCATTATGCTATCTGACTCCAAATGGCATGAAATGGTACCTTTTATTTTGTATAAAATAGATTCATGGTTTTTTTTAAGATTTCATTTATTTATTTTTAGACAGAGGGGAAGGTATAGAGAAAGAGAGGGAGAGAAACATCAATGTGTGGCTGCCTCTTGCGTGCCTCCCCACCGGGGGCCTGACCCACAACCCAGGGAGGTGCCTTACTGGAATTAAACTGGTGACCCTTTGGTTTGCAGGCCAGTGCTCAGTCCACTGAGCTATACCAGCCAGGGCGTCATGTTTCAATAAGAAGCAAAAAACATGATCAAATTTACAAAATGACAGCAGGGTTTTCAAATATAGCAAATTTTGCATGAACTTTGACCCCTTTTAGGGTCAGTGGGGGATGTTGTGTTTCCATCCTTTTGTCCAAAAATAAAGAGCTGTTCCAATATTCACAGGTAACAGAATCAAACAAGTCCTATAACTGTAGCCAGAAAAGAGTCAGAAGACTGATTTTAAATGGCTTTTTTATTCATATCAGTCTATCAAGCCTTATAATTGTGCTTGACTGACAGAGGTATATTACTGTTGGTAGCATAAACCCTTAGTGGTGTGAATGCGATGCTGTGGTGCAGCCTGCTCTGTTTCATCCAGCTTCAACAATTGTCAGCTGGATATGAAGCCCAGAATCTTATAGATGGATGAGTGAAGCAGACTTAGCCAAGTTAAACCTACAATGCTACTGCTGCCAATGTGGTAGATGAATTAGGAAAAGGAATCTTTGCAGAACTCTTAAATGAGAAACTCTGTTATCTTTACTTCATATTGAAAAAAACAATGTGACTTTTAAGTCAATGAGAAATCTTTTCCAGATATCCTAATAACTACAATTTATAGTAACTACCTACCACATCACTTTACATACTAGTTCTCCCACCAGCTCTGGGAACTAGAGATTCGTTGTACCTATTTTACACAGAAGGAAACTGAGGTAAGTTAAGTAGTTTTCTTTTTATCTTTTTCTTTTTTAAAATTATTTTATTGATTATGCTATTACAGTTGTTCCATTTTCCCTCTTCACTCCCTCCACCCTGCACACCCTCTCCCACCCACATTCCCCCCTTTAGTTCATGTCCATGTGTCATCTACATTTCCCATACTATTCCCCCCCCCTCTATTTTCTACCTACCATCTATGCTACTTATTCTCTGCACCTTTTCCCCCTCTCTCCTCCTCCCACCCTCCTGTTGCTAACCCTCCATGTGATCTTCATTTCTGTGGTTCTCTTCCTGTTCTAGTTGTTTGCTTCGTTTCTTTTGGTTTTGTTTTAGGTGTGGTTGTTAATAATTGTGAGTTTGCTGTCATTTTACTATATATGTTTTTTTTTAATGTTCTTTTTCTTAGATAAGTCCCTTTAACATTTCATACAATAAGGGCTTGGTGAGGATGAACTCCTTTAACTTGACCTTATCTAAGAAGCACTTTATCTGCCCTTCCATTCTGAATAAAAGCTTTGCTGGATAGAGCAATCTGGGATGTAGGTCCTTGCCTTTCATGACTTGGAATACTTTCCAGACCCTTCTTGCCTGAAAGGTCTCTTTTGAGAAATCAGCTGACA